GGGGGGGGGGACTGCCTTGGTTTCAATGGTTCTCGTGGACTGGGTGGGAACCATAACCGCTCTCTCTGGGAAAATGGCCTTTATAAGTTACCAAGGGGTTCTACGTCTTTTAACCTTTTACCTTTCGGGAGCTTTTACGCTTCTACAGTATCGAGAACGGGGATTTTCCACTGCTCGTATCCTACGGCTGATACGTGCAGAATGAGATGGGAAATTTAGAAAAATATAAAACAGTTTAAAATAACGGAAATTTTCGCCATCGTATTTCTTTGAATTGCTCTTTCCTTCCGGATTTTATGATCAAGCGGATTTTGCTACATTTTATTTCGCTGAGGACATTTTTTTGAGGGGGGGGGGGAGGTGGTGCCTTCCACTGTTAGGGAGATTTGAAATTTCATCTTGACTGTTATTTAGACCCTTGCGACCCTTAATCTCACTCTTGTGACCCTTAATCTGACCCTCATTATAACCCACGTGACCCTTATTTGAACCCTTGTAATCCTTTGATTGTATAGAGAGAGCCCCATATGACTCCCATGACCCTTATTCTGTCCCTTATTTTGACTCCCATGACCCTTTTAGACCCTTGCAACCCTTTTTAGACCCTTGCGACCCTTAATCTGACCCTTGTGATTCTTGACCTGACCCTTATGACCCTCGTTATTACCCTCATTATAACCCACGTGACCCTTATTTGGACCCTTGTGACCATTTGATTGTATAGAGAGAGCCCCATATAACTCCCATGACTCTTATTCTGTCCCTTATTTTGACTCCCTTTTTAGACCCTTGCAACCCTTTTTATACTCATGCGACCCTTAATCTGACCCTCATTATAACCCCCGTGACCTTTATTCTGACCCTTATTGTAACCCTCTTGACCCTTTTTGGACCTTCTATTCTATTTGGATCCTTGTGACCCTTCATTGCTGAACCTCAATTCTGGAGTTTTGGAGTCTTGGATTTTTGTGATATAGAGAGATATTTTCTCAGGTATGTTATCAAAAGAAAGGAAAATAGCAACCAAAAAGCACGCCGCCATCGAGTCTCTCAAAATTCAACATTTCAGAATACATTTACCTGAATTGTCATAATTTCTATTAATTTTCATGGAATAATTGAACTAAAATTTACAGTTTTCATTAATTTTTCCACAAAATTTTAAATTTCTAACGAAATATTATGTATAATTTCACTGTAGAATCCCTATTCACAATAACCTAAATTAGTTTGAATATTTGTAAACAAAATGATTAATCAACAATTGAAAAAAGCCAGTTATTTTGGTAAAGCAAAAATCCTTGGCTGTCAAATAATAAACATTTCAACTCATTCTATATTCACATCAACAATCATTTCCAGCCCAACGAATTTCTCGATAAAATTCAATCAATCAATCCGAAACTATTAGGGTAGAACGATAATTGATATTATCATTATCACCGTTACGCCTTTCAAACGATGATAATCATGATGAAAGCATTCCTGTAGATTCAAACCGTCCAACAGAGACAATACTCGATTAAGGCTGAGTATTGACATGAATGTCGTGTTTGTACCGCGAAGGGCTTACCAGCTATTGGCTGAAAGCCAGGATTTGTGTATCCTCTCATTCTCCACAGGGACATCTGTGGAAACAAACCCCGGAGACAGCGCAGCGCCAGATAGTACGCGCGAACTTAATCCAGGATATCTGGAGATTCCTTTCTCTCCCGTATAGCTACGTATCCTTCAACATGTCTCTTTACGAAAATCCCTAGGTGAAAATGGTAATTGGACGAGACTACCCGGGATAACTCACGTTTATCTTCATACCAGAGGGATTTTGGTTAATATAATTTGTTTATTCATAGCATTCCAGGACATTACTCCTTTTTCCAGGACATTACTCACTGCTTCAAGATTTTTCATAATTTTTTTTAGGGTAAATTAACCCCTCACGTACGGGGCGCTTTTGTTATTAAGCGCGTCGGACGCTTAATATCACTCAAATCTGATCGGTTTTGAGGAATGGATAATGGTAAAACCGATATGCAATTGGCCCTACAATGATCATTATTCATAGTTTCGGAAATATTTAATTTCGAGGAGAGCTGTCTATTTAGAGTACACTGACAAAAACGAAGGTTTTTGAGAAACATGTCTTTACTTATTTTAAGAAACTTTTGACTTGAAAATTTTCAAGAATAAAATATCTTGCACTAAAATGAAAACCTTCGTCGAGCAATTTGGCACTTGTTCTAAATACGAGGACAATTTCTTGATGACAAGAAAGCGATTTTTTAAAGCAAGTGAAATTGAATGAATTCATTTTATAGTTTTTTAGCCTCAATGCTAAAATATTTTAATGCAAAAACCATTTTAATTTACATGAGAACTCGTTTTCTTGATATGAAAAAATTGCCCTCATCTTTCGGACAAGTATAAAATTTCTTGGCGTAAGATTTTCGTTCTTAGTGTGAGATATTGTGCGCTTGTTATTTTCAAGCCATGAATTTCTTGATACAAGTATAGAAGTACTTCTCAAAAAACATTTCTAGTCCACACGCAATACCCCCTTCCCGTGTGCACTTCTAGTGCGGTAAGGTTTTGAGGCGTTTTCTTATGTTTTCGGGTATGAGAAATCCGAATCCGGTGGTATTTTTTATTTAAGTGCGTGCAATTAATAGTTATAAACAAATTAAGTGGTTTTTT